TATCGACATATACATTCTGTAAATTTTCTCATAGATACTCAAGCGCTGACGAAGGTAACAGGGGTTGCCGAAAATTTCGCAACTAAAATATTTCTATGCCTCCTCCTACAAGTCGAAATATCGTAGCAATTAATTTATTGTGTCTGCGTCTACTTATTTATTTATTCTTACGATGAGACATACGTAACAAAAACAATCAAAAAACAACAAAACAAAGAAAACAAATTTCTGTACGATTGATTAGACGTAACAAAGTATCTGAGTATCTGAGTACGTGGATCCACATCAACAACATTGATTGAATATGAATTTATATATATAATCAAAGCAACAGTAAATTTTACTCATATCACAAATTGACAATTTGTTCAATTTGAATTAGAATCATACGGATATTTTCATTTAATTTCTATAAATTAATCAATAAAGCTAAAAAAATAAAGGTATAACTTACTGCTTTTGAGTTGACGATGGTCATAAGAGTTGCGAGAACCCATATGATCACTGCATTTTGCGGTAACACAGTCATAACGGTAACCAATTGTTTCCAAGCAAAGTTTTTTGTTGAGATTAAGTTCCTGCTTACTATTGTCTACACTGATGATTTCTCTGCTTTTAACGACAAACTAGGATCTGAAAATGTTTATATAAGATTACAGTGAATTCTGTCATTGAGTGAAGTAACAATAAAAAAGGAAAATACGCCTTTGAATAAGTTATTCAAATGGGCGATACCAAAGTGAGACGAAATGGGGGTTTCGGCTGACGTTACATAATTTTAAAATAGTTAGATGAAATAATAATTGTTTCACAGTTGCGTTTATGGAATCAATAGGTCCAAATAACCAATTATGCTGGAGGATCACCATCTAGGACCTTTCACATACATGGCATCGTAAAATATATTTAATATGTATGCATTGTATTACGCCTATTCCGTTTGCTAATTCTCTAATAGGACATTTAGATCAATTGACTTCACTTTTTTCACACTCATGATGCCGAACAGAGGGGTTCCTATATCCGTTTTTAATTGCTCGTTTTGGTCTGAAATTAAATGACATAGAAAACCACGACTGGATCACATTATATAAGCTTAACTTTACTATGTACAGTGTATTGAGGGTGGTGGTCAAATATGGGCGGGTCCATTAATCATTATTCTCATGCCAGTAGACAAACCATAGAACCATGCGGCTCTCAGCTCGCGTTAGGCCCAATCACTGCTGCAGCTGTCCGTGTTGTCCGTTTGAAAATTAGTGCAATGTAACAGATTGAGTTGTAAAGAACTCCAACATTTTATGTCGTTGTAAAATGTTTAAATGTTCTTGTTATTTAAATTTAACGTCTTAGAATTATGTATGCGATTTTGTATGTTTGCATCTCATTTGAAATTCAAAGTAAAAAAGCCAATTAAGTGTAATCAAGAAAATTTAAGACTACGAACAAAAACTGTTGTTATAAAAGATATTACACCCAGCACCAAATCCATTATTCACCTTTTTAAATAATGGTATGATCGAGACCTATTGTCCTCCATATAGGCTATATTTATATATAAATATAGGACTATATATATAGACCTATACTTTATAGTTCAAGTTTGGTCAAAGACTCGACGTTAAATGGGTAATTATTCAGGTATGATAATGTGATATCATTTCCTAATCATACAAGCTTCCAAGAACAGAATAGCATGGACGATTATAATAGGTTCAATAGGCAGACCATGCAGTCCATTTTAAACTGGTTACGTATGGCATCGTATCTATTTTAGTACCATTATAACAATGATCTCATGAGTAATGAAAAATCCAAATTCGAAAAAAACAACAAATAATTGTTTTGCAATTTCCATCAATCATACCTCAATACCCAATAGGACGTGTCTGTCATTGGTGATGTACCGGTAATTTATGGGAAAATTTGGCAGTATTTAGACAACAGTGCTCGATGCAGGAGCAGAGCAATATAAAATAAAAACATGATGACGCTTGGTTACAAATTCAACATTTTATTGCACTACAGGCTGTTTCATGAGGTACTTCCTCAATCGTCAGGTGCTAGGCTCTGAATGAGACT